AAAATATATATACACATTTATCATCTGTTGTATCACATGGACCTTCCTTTTGCTGCCTTAATTATGGGATTTGATAGTGTTAAAAACTTTCTCCATTTCAGCCTCACCCCAACTTGTTCTTCCTCCTTTCCATTTCTACTCCAAAAGCTTGGGTTGGGTTCATCTTCCCTTGATCAGAAATCTTTGATGGTTTTCCATTGTCTAAAAAATGTAATTCCTCATAATCTGTCTCCAGCCTCCTTTTTTATTGCCATCTTCTATTCAGTGTACCCCCAACTGAATTCTACTACTTACCATTTCCAGAATTCTGGTCACTTGGATGCTTCCAACTTGTTGGTTGTGCCTAGGATGCCTTTCACCTCCTCATCTCAGCCTCATCAATTTCTACATAGCAAGATTATCTCAGTTGTCATCCTCATTCTAACCTTGACCACTTTAGCCCATACACACCTTTTTTCCTTAAATTAATTGCACTTAGTTCACCACCCTAATGTTTAATACTCATTTCAGTCATGTATTTTGGAATAATGTTTTTCAGAATCAGTGACCTTTTCTTACATATCCTCAAAGAGTCTAGCATTGTACATGTACTCTGAACATTCCATGTTTACCATGCTTCCTCATAGAGCTGCTGTGTAGTGAAAAGGAGTACTAGTGATGCTAACACAAGCTATACATATGAAAAATTGTCCAATGTGACTTTGTTCAGTGGTGTGCTCGCTCCACAAATAATTATTTATTTGCTCAACAAATGCATGATTTTTTGCCCTTAAGGAACTTGCATTTTTCTTTTATCTACTGCAGTTATTTATATAAGGCTAGGGGAATGAGGATGATTGATAACCAGATTGGTTCATTATCCTATTGGTCAACTTACTGAATTCCTCATGTTTCTCATGTATTATTGTGTTATATTTTTCACCCAGCCTGTCTAGCCCTCAAGCTAAACTCAGGGGCAAGGCTTCTCATTGCAGAGAAGAGATTTTGCTAGAGAATAGCGAGTTAGTGAGACCCTAATAAAGTCTGGCACTCTTAATTGGTCCACCTAGGCTAGAGTAAGCCTGGGTAAGGAGGCCTTCTGGTTACTCAGACTCCCTCCTTGGAGTACCTAATCAGTATATAGGCACATTTTCCTGTCTTTAAACAAATTAGTCAAATGTATCTTTGAAGAATATCTACCTGATGAAATGTACCCCAAAATAAAGTTTAGGATGTGGTGTTCCAGAATCTTGTCCTATAACAGATTCTCTTAAAGTCAGTTAAGTTCAACTCTAATATGAGAAATAAGTCAACCTTGAAATAAAATGAGAACAAGTGGTGCATAACAAAAGAAAATGCTAAATAAAAAAGTGTAATGAGGTGCAAAATTATAACACATGTACTTGTTCCCAAAACAGATACAGAAGTTTCTTTTTATAGATTCAGAGGATTTCTATAATAAGATAAACAAGAAGTTCATGGGTGGGGTCTGTATAAATAATATCCTACTGATAGGAAAAATGACAGTATAAACAGGATATAATAACAGTGCCTGCTGAATTCCCAGCATGTTATTTGTAGCTTCTTTCACAGTCACAGCTGCTCCCACCAAGGGTGGATTTTACCTCTGTAAGAGGTCAGCCAAGATTCCAAATTCTCACTAACAAATGGTGGGGTGGTGAGCATAGCCTTTGCTTTGGTAATAAACACATGTATTCTGTATTAACTTTCAGGGTAAGAAGGCTGTTTAAGAATGCTTAAAACATAATTTTTTTAATGACCTCTGGGAAAAAATCAGGCATGCAGAATAAATGAGTAAATGGGCAGCTTGATGAGTGCTTATCAGCCAAAGAAATACACTAATAGGATTCATGTCCTCTGAAAAATGAATACATGGAAGAAGAAAAATCATTTAGCATCTCCAAATTTTAAGAAATTTATCACAATTTTGTTTTCTTGAATAATAGTAGTATAATGGAAAAGCAGCATAATGCCAAGGTTCTAGTCTTTCTGTCATTACATAGCCTTGTGACCCAGAGCCTCATTTTCCTTATTTATAAGATGAAGGACTTTGACATAATAGTTTCTTTCTTAGTTCCCTTGGTCTGGCTGCTATAACAAAATACCATAAACTGGGTAGCTTATGAACAACAGAAATATACCTCTCAAAGTTCTGAAGGCTGGGAAATTTGAGATCAAGGTAGATTCATTGTCTAGTGAGAGCCTGCTTTCTGGCTCATAGACAATGCCTTCTTGCTGTGTCTTCACATGTGGAAAGGGAGAGGGGGTCTCTCTTGGGCCTCTTTTATTAAGGCATGAATCCCATTCATGAAGGCTCCACCCAGAGGACCTAATCACCTCCCAAAGATCCCACCTTCTAATACTATTATCACTTGAGGTGAGGATTTCAACATAGGAATTTTAGAGGGACATAAACATTTAGACTATAGCAGTTTCTATCTTTTCTAGATGTCAAATCCTAATCTGTTTTAAATGGTAAGTACATTTAACAGGTGCGCATCTTACCTGTGTCCACTATTCTCATTCCCAAAATGTAAGAATTTGTGTAAAGACAAATTCTGAACTGGTTTTAGAAACGTTTCAACTGTTCTCAGATCACTTCCCTTTTATACTTATCTTTAAAATGAAGGATAAAAACACTACATATTCTTTTTAATTATCATTTCTTTACAAAGGCAGATTTATTGATCCTCTCTCTAATCAGAGAACTTCAGACTAGATACTAAAAACCAATTAAAGTGTCAATATACTTTTTAAAAAAATAAACTTCATTGTTTTAGAGCAGTTTTAGTTTCACAGCCATGTGAGTAGAAAGTAGAGAGTTCCCATACACCCCCTGCCTCACCTCCCATACACAGTCTTCCCCACTATCACCATCCAGCACTAGAGTGCTACTTTTGTTACAGTCAAACCTGCGTTGACAGGACACTGTCACCCAAAGTCCATAGTGTTCTTTAGGGTTCACTCTTGGTGTTGCACATTCCATGGGGTTCGGATAAACGTATAATGACATGTATCCATCATTATAGTATCACACAGAATAG